GGATTCGACGCGGATACCGAAACAACTCTTATACGGTCAGTTGAGTATTGGGAAGCGGCATGTGGGGAAACCAAAGTTACGTTACCAGGACATGATTAAAGTGAGCCTCACACGTTCTAATCTTGATTGCAGATCATGGGAATCGAAGGCGGTTGATCGTGGTGCATGGCGCGATCTAATCACGAAGGCAGTTGCTGAAGTGCGGGAGAAATCCCTCATGCATGCAGAGAAGAAGCGGCAGTTGCGGAAGCGGCAAGCACCGATGAGTTGTACTCCATCGACATCGAGCGCATGATGCTGTAGAACATGCGGTCGCGAGTGCCTTAGTCAGGCAGGCCTAGTGAGCCATGAGAGAGGTCACTCGGGACCACTGCCGAAGCGACGACGGGTCCCGCAGTGAACGTAGGCAGCACCGGCGCAGCGTTTGTAGGCACGCTGAATTCGATTTACTAACCGCATGCTTGCATGCTAAGTCTCTTTATTTCAGGTGGTGGGTTTTCGGTTCTCTCCTAATGCCTTTCTTTCTCATATAAATGTCCAGCGGGCCATGAGCTGTGCCATTTGGGGCCACTACAGAAGCGACGACGGGTCCTGCAGAGAATTACGGCGAGCCGGCACAGCGTTTGTAGGCACGCTGAATTCTTACTAACCGCGTGCTTGCATGCTAAGTCTCTTTATTTCAGGTGGTGGGTTTACAGTTTTTACCTTAATGCTTTTCTTTCTCATATAAATATCTCCCTGTACTCTATTCCACTAACTTGCACACATCGCTTCAGCCAATTGTATTCGATTTCCATAACATTTTTGTGTTCGTGGCATTCCGTGAACTATACTTCCTGACCTCGTTCACTTAGCTAGCATTTGTTTGTAAACAACTTATTACGTATGCTATTTAATTAAGGTTTATGTCACCGTTTCCTTATGCATTAATCGAGTTTTTCTCTTTTTCTTTCTCTCTCTCTCAAGTGATTGTCTGTTGCTTGATATCCCCGATGTGGCTGCGCTTGATGTGCATTTTGACAAGTTGCCTAACTGTCTATTACCCACTACCTCGTCCATACTGGCTCCAGGAGACAGTTGGTCGTTGCTGGAGGGGACGGGGTGCACGGTCGTTGTGGCCGTGCTAGGCTCGAAGAGTGGTTCCATGCACTCAGTGTGGAGCGGACTACGGTCCAGCCACCGCCTTGTGTGCGCTTGATTTCCCAAATACAGCGTGCTTGTGTTTGCCTGTGAAGGAGTGTGGGCCGGCTCCGTTGATGAAACGTGGCTCCCATCCACATGCCTCCGGGTCTTATTCCTTCGGGTTTACACTGGATATGGGGTGTGTGGTTGGAGCTGTGGGTGGTGCAGCGCAAGCCATCCATGGTCCCTGTGTAGGCGCAGGCGTCCTGTGTCTGGCCACAGTGACAGGCAAATCCGAAACCGGATGCCGCCAACCAAATATATACCGTGTTGCGATGGTTTGCATGCCTTAAAGATCCATTGAGCTATGCTGGCTGGTACTTTTTGCACTTTTTGAACCACTCGTACCAGATTAGTCAATGTTTGGAGGTCTGACAAACTCAGCATCATGGTCTTCTAGGTTGGGGTTTGGAATGATGGTGTCTCATTCTTTAAAACGGATGCCTTGTAGCCCACCGCCAAACCCGCTGCCTTGTGGTCAGTTTTTTTTAACTAAAGGCTTTGGTTGTGAGCCCTAATCGTTCTCCTGTCTATGTCTGGGCAAGCTGACAGTTTCCCGCCCACGCAGTACTATAATCTTTCCTCAAACAATTTTCTTCGAGAACAGAACTGTTATCCGGTTGACAGTTGCCTTGTCACCATACTTGATCAGCTCTGGTCGAAGTCCGTCTGAGCCATCAGCTTTGAATAGCCCCAAGTGACGAAGCTGAAGACAGACCTCCACTTCGGTAGGTGGTTCCAGTGAGACGTTCTAAGGCGCGCAAGTTGCCCTGCTTGTTTTACTGGAGGAAGGAGAAGGCCAGGTGAATTGGGAGTGGAAGTTCTCAGCCCAGCGGTCCATGCGCCTACACAACTTAGTTTTTGATGATCCATCAACCTCGCAACTAGCCTCACTAACGCTATGTCTTCTGTTGCCACTGGTCCGAATGATATAGAAAAGCTTGCAAAAATTTCCAGAGAAAGCTGTTGTCCATCTCCGGAGTCCGCTGGGACCACAGAGTTTTACTGTCGTTACTCAGGCTGTGCTTGAGTTGTTAGCTGCTGTTGCGGCGGACTTCAACGCAGCTCGAATCAGCTGGGATAGCTCATTGACGATCAAACAATTCCAAAGAGCAAGCAAAGATCCAGCCTCTCATAGCCCGCCTAGCGATTCTAACCAACGATTGCCCGGAAGAATGAAACGCCTTTTGCAAGAAATTCCAGTGCTTTTTGACATCTGTAGATGGGGCATGAGCGAGCTCATCTGATAAGGAGGATTAAAAATCCAGTTGAACAGAGAAGTTAGCTAACCATTTGGTATCCAACCTACGGTGCTTTGGTCTCAAGGATCCACCAAAGCGCATGCAAATGTCCGCACAGACTAGAGCGTGACCTGAGTCTACGTAGTCAGTGGATGATATTCCAACTTGAGGGTTCAGATCCCCCCAGATAATACAACATCGTCCGTGCTTCTTCTGTGGCGATGGAGATGGGGCAGTTGGCGGTAGAAGTCATCTTTTCCTGAATCATCGCTAGAGTTTTTGGCGCGTATGCAGCGATGATGAAGAGACACCTGTTAGTCCCGCTCGACTTCGAAGCTTTGAACGAGCCAGCCAATCGGACCGCACACACCCGGCTACTAATTGGAATCCAATCAACCAGAGCAGCTACAGCCCGGGGACTCCAGGGCAATACCAACACCGGCTTGGTCGGTGCTCGAAGCTACATTGTCACCGGATAGGCGCAATGAGAACGTGCTGCTGGTGTCTCCGGAAGTCGATCACAAAGTGAACACTGAGCTCGAGTCTTGCAGGTTTGTCTCTGGTAAACGGCAGATATCGATCGAGAGGGTCTCCAATGTTCGGGCAAGTGCTGCCTGTTGACCGGTCTGTAGTAATGTGCGTACATTGAGGCATGCCAATCTGAAGGAGGATTGAGGGCTCCAAATGGAAGCCGATGAACTGGAATGGGCCGCTTGATTGGACATGTGCTTGTCGACAGGACATGAATGGCGCTCCGCGTTAGCATGTGAGCTGACATTAGAAGTTAAATGCCTAGGAAAGGATGTTGTGGGAGGGCCAAGAATCGGGGGGTTGAAAACTGGGGGGGATATAAGTGAAGTTGGAACGGGACGGTAAGAGTGAAAAAGCGTAAGAGGAGGAATAAGAAGACGGGAAGGCTTGAGCAGTAGCACCCCAACCCCTATCCACCCTGCTCGATGCAGCAGATATGGCACCGTTGATTATTCTGTGCAGTGGCCAAAGCATCAAGAAATTGTTTGCCGAAGGATTCATGGTTTTGCGTGGCAGAATACTGTCAAGTTGTCCAGGCCTAGACAGGAGAACTATTAGGTCTCAACCAAAGTCTGTGGTTCACATACCTGACCGCGTGCCAGCGGGTTTGACGTTTTAAGGAATAAGGAGGCACCCTCAATCCAACCCCCAACCTGTAGGATCAGAATGCTGAGTTTGTCTGGCCTTTAACCATTGACCAGTGTGGTATGACTGCCTCTGAAATTGCAAAAAAGCACCACCTGGCATAGCTCAATGGATCTCTGATGCACGCAAGCCATCGCACTACGGTACGGTCCGCGTTATCGCAGTGATCTTGGCGACCTAAGCATGAAGGATATTTTCCGGAGCTTACTATCACCTGTTCACCTATTTTCTGTATATTGCTGTTGTCTGTACACTCTATCGAGCATTTGTTTTCTCAAGCATTTCCATTGCTCCTTTCTGGTGCAAAGTATCTCTTCCGAGCCGTCGGATCTTTCCCTACTCCTCATATCTCGTAACAAGCTAGTACACGGGTTCAATCACCCTTGTCTGCTGCCTCCATTATCTTACTTATCGAAACCTCCATTTGCGACAATGCGACTCCTTTTTGTCGTTATGTTCACTCGGTCTGTACCGTCGCCTCAACAATGCTCCTGTTCCAAGCGCCCTCAGTTTTCATATTGATGTGCCCGCACGGTAGCGCGTATATCGATTAACAGCTTCGCATTTGCCAGTTGTGTCAATGCACGCAACCACGCGACTCGCACACCGTTGTCACACGTAGAGTTCACGGATGCAAACAATGGCTTCTCAAATCAGGCTGTTTGACACCTGTGCACCAAAGCGTATGCGCACTGAATGCAGCGCGCAGTTTTTGTTGTTTCTGCTGGGGTCATATTGCTCACCACTTGTTGTGGGCACTCAGATACATTTTGATGTGGAATACCGTATACTATATTGCACACCTTTACTTGCTACCACTCTGTTCTGCGTCGCTGTCACCTGCAGTTTTTAGGGTCTCCGATTCGCAATCGTATGCTTTCACTTATATCACCAACCTCAGTTATCCGCAATTTGTGTACCACCATACCGCTTTTCGGACACATGGCTTCCATCTCACGTGTAGTCATGACATCACTTTGCCATACACTACTTTTGATTCGTTACGGTACATTCAGAATACGGCATCACATGGCGTAGTCATCTATACCATGTTCCAAGCTGCACACATCAGTTGGCTTGACGTTCTGTATCCCTCTCATTTCGGGCCTTTTTCTACAACAACAACATACATTATGTCCTCTTTTATGGTTACTTGAAACTTCAACATTATTTGTTCGCATTACACATTTACACACACACACAGGCGCAACGTCATTTTGTTTCACTGTAGTAGTGATGGAGTTAGTTGGAATCATTCGGAGATCGTGTCCACGGTCAATCATCTATATAAAATCAATCATCTATATAAACGTTCCTACACTTTCTCTCATGGATCCTTCTTTACATTATGTCAAGCAGGTGTACACCTTATTTGTACGAATTTAACTTAATGTTTTACAGTCACGCGTCTCTGAACTCCCAAACAACCTCCAGTGCCGCTAGTCATCATGATGAACCGGACAGGCGATCTGGTAGCCAATCCGTTGTCTCCATTCATCTAATTGAAAGCGCACGATCGTTGACACCTGTGAATTCGTCATCATCAAGGATTAGAGAGCTTAGCCGACCAGCCTCCCGCAACGGAACGCCATCCATCGTGCGTATTTATTCTCAAGTGAGTAGGAGATCTGCATCCACAGAGGAGAGTTCCGATGTTGACGCGGATGGAGATGACGACCAAATCTCGGAGCTGCTTCGAGGGTACTCGGTTAGTTGGTCTTTTGATTTCATATGACGGACAATTACCCCCCCCCCTCCGTAAAACATCTGGTTTACAATGAACATGTTTATCAAAAAATGTATTGGTTGTAACAGAATGTACTACTGTGTAGCTCATAAACTAGTTCACTTTGGATTGAATAACTGAGTGCACTGCTTCCGTTGAAGCAATCGACGTCATTATGCGAATTGTCGGGGAGGCGGAACGAAGTGAGAGGGGGACAAGTGAATGAATGGAAACCTTTTCTGGTGATGACAATTGAGCTAAGGTAAAAGTTCTATCGTCATTGCGTCCGTGTGGAATATTTAACCACTGGTGTGGGGATCCTCCAAACCAAATCGACACAGATAACACTTGCTGCCTCTGTCACATCTTCCGTCACTTTCTTCGAAGCACCTCGACTGACTGACTGACTGCCTTTTATTAGCATGCAACATGGTCTGGACTAACTTTTTGTTGCTCGACGAACATATACACGATGCGATTTCCGCAATGATCTAGCGTTGTACCGCATGGCTTTATGCCATACCTCATCTGACGTTCTTACTCACCGCTCACTCAGTGTCCCTACCAGACATTTGCTATCCCACACAAACGCTGGTGGTCAAAAATGAGCAGCCTTTCAACATTGTCAACGCGAAGCGGTAACATGTCTTGTCCACAGAGTTGTCCTGGTCACACTGCAGTACTTTACAGTCACAGAGCAGTCGATCCTAAGCCCCTGCAAGACAACAACGCGGAACGGCAGTTCGCTGCTGAGCAAAACAAGCCCTTTGCCTTCTGTGCGTTCTACCATGTGCTATTCCATATGCATGGCATGTTTCGCGTGCTGATCATGCCATCTACAATCACCATCCCCTTCATCATCATTACACATTAACTGATGGTGAGCAACACACTTCAGATGACTGTGCCGCAATATAAAAAGTATAAGAAACAACAAGATACTAAACATTACGAAATACAAAACTAAAAGCAAGCGTGATATTATCCATGCCGCCATTTATGATGGTGTCATATGTTACTACTACCCCACTTCGAGACGCCCCCGTCTTACGTTTGATATCGTTCGATGTCACTTTTCCTGTTTCCTTCTTATCAGCATTTGTCTTCATTTCAGTTCCCTTAGCGACCGTGATCCGAGCAATGAGGTGCGCTTGTCGTGATTCCTGGCGCCATGTTAACTAAGGGAAAAGTAGCAATATTGAGTTAACACTACTAGTCAGCTCCAACCAAAAATCAAACGAAAGCAAAACACATTATTGTCACTTTGTAGCTTAGCCATGTCAGTATTACTGTCTAATCACTTGTGTGACCTTTCCTGTGGTCTCTATTTTGGAGGAAAACACACATTGACCTGATTAAGCTGTTCAGTCAGTTTCCTTTTCCTTTATGCCACATCAATGACACAATTATAGAAAGATCAGACATAGAGAATTTTAGAAAAATCGCCAATCAGATGCCGTAACTGTACCGATCAACATCATCGTTATTATACACGTTAGTTAGAGGTGTAAAACATCTCAGCTCATCAGCATCATTATACACGTTAGCTAGACGTGGGAAAGACCTCAGCTACTGTGCCGCAACACATAGAAGAAAAAGAGGAGAAAAATATGCAAAGGTGCAAGTCCGCTGAGTTACCGGTAACGGATGGGCATTGTTCCGGTAAGCTACCAACTGGCTACTATACAACAGCAAAAAATTACTATGCAAAATTATATAAGGTTGAATAGTGAGATCGTGGTTGGAGGGGGAGGCTAAACGAGATGGGTTGGGACAAAGAAACTCCCAACACAAACGTCATTGCGGTGGGCTCTTAGCCATGTCAACAAGTGTATCCAACGAAACGTGTTCATCCTCTTTCGGACCCCAACCAGGGAGCCGAGACGTTTCAACCGAGGCCAGCTCAGACGTGAGGGCCTTCATTCCTGTCGACCAAGTCATCGCTTGGCCACCCCTCCTCTTCTTCCATCCACACCCCCGCCAGCGAACAACGCACGTCGCGGGAGCCGGTGGACTGGCTTGCGTAACACGTGGCTGAGCCATCGGAGCCTGGTGCGTGAACTAACGGTGCTGAGCGGTTCATTTCCTTTTTCTGTGCCGTAAACAAGGCGTCGAAGACGCTCTTTTCTCACGCGGTGTTCCCACCAGATGTGAGCTAAATTGCGTAGGCACCGGTGGTCGAACGTAACTAGCCACTTTAGGTCCGTTGATCTAAGATGCCAGGTTTCCAAACCGTACAGTAGGGTCGAACGTACCGCTGCATTGTACACTCTCCCCTTCACGGCGATAGTGATGTCGCGCCTACGCCATAGGCGGCGAAGGTTAGCAGCTGCGCCTCGAGCTTTTGCTATACGGTTCGTGATCTCATCTTCAATTCCACAGACGCTGAAACAACTTCCCAGGTGGTAGTATTTTTGAACGACTTCTTGCTGATACCCACTAAGGGTCAGCGGAGGAGGCGGACCAGGCCTATGTTGAAGGAATGCTTTGCACTTCGAGGGTGCGAAGCAAAGCCCGAAGAATTGGCAGCCAGTGCTGATCTGTCCAGTTTAGCTTGGCACGTCCGGGAGCTGTCACATATGGGTACAACATTGTCGGCATACTCCAAATCAAGAAGTAGTTCTCCCGGGAGCAGATCCACACGTTTTACATCCGTGATTTCGTCAATGACGAAGTCGAAGAGGAAAGGTGACTGCGTGCATCCTTGTCTTACACCGCTGAAGATGTTAAAGGGCGACGACAGCTGGCCGTGGTCCCTCTCACTCTGTCCGAGCTACGCGCATATAGTGCACGAATAATCTTTGCATGTTTCTCGGTCACACCTTTCCTGAGTAGACAGTCTCGTAGGGCACATCTGTCCACCGAATGGAATGCACCTTTGATGTCGACGAACACGCCAACAGTGGGCCGCCAATATATGACGGTGCTCCAACAACTGACGCAAATTGAAGATGTGGTCAATGCAGCCCCGATCTCGACGAAACCCGGCTTGCTTTACACGAATCTGGCTTTCACGAGTGCCAGTCAGTCTGTGAAGCATTATGGAGGCGATGGAGATCAGACTGATTCCTCTATGGTTGCCGCATTCCGACCGTGAGCCTTCCTTGACAATTGGTACTATGACGGTTCGGCTCCAGTCGGTTGGGACAGTTTCTTGCCCCCACAGTTTCACTGGTAATTCGTGTAAATCTTCGACGTGAGCAGGTCCCCCGAATTTGAAGAGGGCTGGAGGCAGCTCATCTAGTTCCGCGGCTTTATCAACTTCAACAGTCCGATCTCACGTTCGACTTCTGAGCGAGAGGGAGGATCCAAAAGGACAACCCACGGAGCACGGCGATCACTGGCCGGTGAGTAATCTAACAATTCCGACCGATTAAATTGCCTTTCACTTGCTCAGCCCAACGCTTCAAGCGTTTTGACAAGTTGTGGATAGGCTGTCCACTCTCGTCGTATATGGTCTTGCTAACTCCAGGTTTCCTGTTGCCCGTTTCTCATATCAAACGGAATAACTTACGATGGTTACCAAGGTCAGCGGTCACTTCCATCTCTGACGCTTGATGAGACCACCAGCAGGATTCGCGATCTCTCTTCAGGCTAGCGTGGAGTTTTGCCCGGAGCTCTTTGCGAGTTTCCTTGTGTTCGCTTCCAACCGGGATATGCCGGCGAGCGTCGATAAGTTCCAGAGACCGCGAAGAGACCCAATCTGTACGTTGGCTATTGGACGTACCACATGTGAATTTTCCTGCAGCTAGTAAGGTATGGTGAATATGAGACCAGCGAGATTCAATTGCATCAACTGAGCGCTTACTCAATTCGCATATCAGCGTACTTTGATAGGCATTCAGAACAGCTGGCTTCGCCAGTTGGCTGGTGTCAATGCGCTCACAACGTCGACGTGGGCGTCCGCCAAAACGCATCCGCAGGTCAGTAGATACAATTACTCGGTCGGTGTCACACATGTACTCCAAATCGAGCGACAGTTCTGGACGCAGCCTCTCTAGCGATAATTGTTCGTAATGTGATCGATTTGCGTCCAAGGCTGGTTCGAGGCTAGTGGGCGCCAAGTCGCGCTCCCGCGGGTGCTGTGTCGGAAATTAGTGCTCGCAAGAAATAGCGAGCATTTTCGTACAATTGAAGCCACCGCTCACCGTTATCATTACAAGTGATTACACCATGTTGGCCGCCCAGATGCAGTTCATCGGTGGATCATTTTCCAACTTGAGCGTTCAGATCCCCCAGCCAATACAACAGTGTCCGTGCTCCTTCTGTCTTTTCCTGAATCATTGCTAGAGTTTTGCGCGCGTAGGCAGCGATGATGAAGAGACACCTGTTAGTCCCGCGCGACTTCGAAGTTTTGAACGAGCCAGCCAATCGGACCGCACACATCCGGCTACTGATTGGAATCCAATCAACCAGAGCAGCTATAGCCCGGGGACTCCAGGGCAATACCAACACCGGCTTGGTCGGTGCTCGAAGCTACATTGTCACCGGATAGGCGCAATGAGAAAGTGCTGCTGGTGTCTCCGGAAGTCGATCACAGTTAACACTGAGCTCGAGTCTTACAGGTTTGTCTCTGGTAAACGGCAGATATCGATCGAGAGTGTCTCCAATGTTCGGGCAAGTGCTGCCTGTTGACCGATCTGTTGTAATGTGCGTACATTGAGGCATGCCAATCTGAAGGAGGATTGAGGGCTCCAAATGGAAGCCGATGAACTGGAATGGGCCGCTTGATTGGACATGTGCTTGTCGACAGGACATGAATGGCGCTCCGCGTTAGCATGTGAGCTGACATTAGAAGTTAAATGCCTAGGAAAGGATGTTGTGGGAGGGCCAAGAATCTGGGGGTTGAAAACTGGGGGGATATAAGTGAAGTTGGAACGGGACGGTAATAGTGAAAAAGCGTAAGAGGAGGAATAAGAAGACGGGAAGGCTTGAGCAGTAGCACCCCAACCCCTATCCACCCTGCTCGATGCGGCAGATAG